AACAGACATTAGCCCAAACCAACCTGACATAATTGCATTCACCATCAGGAGGAAATTGGAGGGACTAGGGCCTCTAAACCTAAGAGGTGCAAGCATCCAGCTTAAGGGGGAAGTAAAATATCTCGGGGTTATGATTAACTCGAGACTTATCTGGAACCAGCATCTAGAAAGAACCACAAGGAGAGCGGAAACCTCGTTAATGATGGCAAGGCAATCCTTTGTAAAAAAAATGGGGGTTAAAACCAGACATGGTATATTGGCTTTATAACATGGTGGTGAGACCGATAATAACATACGCAGCTTTGGTGTGGTGGCCAAAGACACAGCAAAGGAAAGCAATAGCGAGGCGAGGACTCCCACCTCTTCACTATGTGATACAAGGGAAGACAAGATTAGGTGCTTACAGATTAGGGAATACACTGGAAAATCTTGACATTAGGCCAGGTTAAATGAGTATCTCAAGGTTAGTGACCGGAGACGTGCTAGACATGAGATCAGACCCCATAACCGAGAGGTACTCTTTTATTACTGCATTTCAGGTTTTAATACAGGAAAGAGAGGAGGTCACCTTAAGGGAGCCCAATGCCCAACGACAGGAACAAACCTGATATACAGACGGGTCTAAGACTGCGGAGTATTATCCAAAAACCCTGATACTAACCATAGCTATGCTATAGGAATACAATCCTCGGTATTTCAGGCCGAGGTATACGCAATTTTACAATGTGCAAAAACGAACAATGAAAGAGCTGTCGAAAATCAGCATATTCAAATAATGTCAGACAGCCAAGCGGCACTTAAGGCCTTATCCAGTCAGAAAGTTACGTCGAGGCTGGTATGGGAATGCATCGAAGAACTAAGAACACTGGCAGACCGAAATAGAGTAAATTTATTTTGGGTGTCAGGTCACCAACGGATCGAAGGCAACGAAAGGGCTGACGAACTTGCATAAAGAGGGTCCGAAGAAACACTGGAACCAGACACAAACCCAGGAGTACCAAAAAGTACAGTCCGAGGTTTCATAAACGACTGGATTCGGGAACAACATATCAACTATTGGGGACGCATCCCAAAACAGACACATGAAAAAGCCTTCATAGGCAGACCATGTCCCAAAAGAACTGGAGAACTACTTTTAATAAATAGGAACCAGTTAAAAGTGATAACAGGGTTCATGACTGGGCAAGCCCCAGTAAAGGGACACTTGAACAAAATTGACATGTACAATGAAGAACTCATATGCCGACTAGGTCACAAAAAACCAGAAACGGCCAAACACATACTGTGCGAATGCAAAGCTCTAGATCGCAAAAGACAGGCTCTTTTTGGACAACCCCAGGTTGATCCAACAACGTATAGAACCCACTCACCCAAGGATCTGTACAAACTTGTACAAGGTACAAAGGTGACAGAGTGGGTGCTATGAACTAACATGGGGTAAAACACAATAAGCCAATAGGCTTTGGTGTTATTCGGAGACACATAGTCAGACGAGCCCAGGAGAAAGTAAAGAAAAAAAATATAAATGGGTATGGGGAGATGCGCAAATAGAGACTGTAAATAAATTAAAAAGTATTTTAATAAGTTCACCTGTACTAACCATTTTTAATCCGTTATGAAATACTATTGTGTATGCAGATGCTTACCGAGATGGAATTGGGTGAATTATCATCCAAAAAACTGAAAACGGAGAGAAACCAATCTGGTATTATAGTCGGCAAACCTCAGAAAGTGACAAAAAGTACCACTTTTTTGAACTGGAACTGTTTGCCATTATAATAACTGTTCAGAAATATAGACATTACTTGCTAGGGAACGAATTCATTATACTGTATAACTCTAATGCTGTAAAAAACACTTTAAGTAAAAAATACATCATTCCCCGCATACCTAGGTGGGTTTTCATTTTACAGGAGTATCATTTTTAAATATAACATAGACCGGGAAGTCAAATGGCCCATTTCGATGCTTTAAATGTAGGAATCTTGTTTCAAATAACGCAGATTCATTTTCTGAGGAAACAGTTATGAAAATACCAGACAATTATTGGTTACTCTCTGTACAAAAGCAAGATCCTAAAATCTGTAAAATAGGGGAAATTTTAGAGTCAGGGGAGGCCAAGGCAAATAGAGATATTTTCAATTGTTACGACCTACAAGCATCTAGGATTTTTAAACTGTCGATAGTAAATTGTACAAAATAACCATGATAATTTAGGTCATTTCGGTTAAAAAAAAAAACATAAGAGTCAATGAAAAATATTGATTCCCAAAAATGAATAAATTTATAAAAAAATATATTAAGTCCTGTCTTGAATGTCAATACCAAAAGATGCCCAGTGGTAGAAATCCTGGATTTTTATTTTCTATTCATAAACATGCGTGGCCGTCACACCCTACATATCGACCACCTAGGGCCGTTTGTCAAAAGTAGATATGGTAATAAGTACATTTTTAATATTAGAGATTCTTACGTAATTTTCAAAGTACAAAAAGTAAATGGGTTGTAAAAGATCTTGATAAAATATTAACAATTTTTGGTACAACAAAAATAATAATTTGTGATTCGGGTACTCCAAAAGGTGCTTTTCTTATATCAGCCGGTTTTCCATCTTTTTGTTCGCACCCCCTGCACAATGCGGACTCTGACAGCCCCATGATATGAATATGCTTCTGTACTTGGCAATAAGCAGTCAGAATGCCTGTGACTAGGCGCAGATTCTGTCTAGTCATAGTTAAGTATTTGTTTGCTGCAGTGTTGTCAGGGTAAATTAATAGCATCCTGGTTTCTTCTGAAGTTTCTAATTTCATCCCATATTTTCTTAAATTTCACAAGGGAATGACGTTCTTTAATTAGATCTGTCACTAACTATTTTGTCAGACCAATAGAAGGGCCAGGTCCAAAACGTATTTGGTTGGCTGCTTTTTCCACCAGTGACCTTCAATGTGGCGTGACCTTCGATTCATCTTAACCAGATCGTGAGGATGAGTGTCATTGTCGTCATAACAATCACCTTGATGTAAATATCAAGGGGAGTGAGACTAAGAATGACTTTCATAGCTCTGGTCGGTGTTGCTTTCGTCGATTCTGTTATGTTGAGACAGGCTGTTCTTTGAATTTGTTCTTGTTTACGGACAGCTGTCAAGTTTTTGGTTTTCGGTACCCAAAAAACTGTACCGAACATTAGTATAGGTCTTATGATAGTCGTGTAAGTCCACGACTCTGGGGGAGAAATCCTAGTTGCGCCCCACGGTTTGGAGGCACTGTTCTTAAGCAATGGCTCCCTTGACTATGTTTTCTAAATACGAGTTTCATGTTAACTTACTGTCAAGGGTGAGATCTAGGTACTTCACCTCTAGTTTTGAGTTTAAGAGGTTGGAGGTTTTAATTCCATTTTCATCCTTTTCCTTGTAAAAAGGACCATTTCTGTCTTCTTGGAATTGATAGATAGTGAATGGTCCTTGCACCACTGTTCTATAATTTTAAGAGCTACTTGTATTCTTTCGCAGAGTATGTTTGCAGAATGACCAGGTTATCTTCATATGATATTGTGTAGTAACTGTCATTATTGAGGCGGCTGATGAGAGTGTCGAGGACTATGTTACACAGTAGAGGTGATAGCACCTCTTCCTATGAATATCCCTTACAACAAGTTCCTTACATTTACATTTTCTACACTTATATTTACTGCTCGCTTTGAGACTATTTTATGTATCCACTCACTAAGCATCTGTGAAACATTCCTGTTGGTTAATGAGTGTATTATCTTGGCGAAGGTGGTTTTATTAAAAACACCTTCTATGTCTATAAAAACACCCAAGGCGGACTCCTAATTGTCTGGGTATCTCTCTATCCTGCTAGCAACTAGATAAATTAGTAGATTTGCCTGGGGTGTATGTTTGTTGGTTTGGGTGTAGTTGTGTTGTAATCACCGCATCCCTTATGTACATTTTGCATAGCCTTTTCAAAGTCTTCATGGAAAACGATGTGCAGACTAATTGGTCGATATATTTTTGGGACAGTGTAATCCATACTTCCAGAGCAAACGAGAATCTAAATATATGCGGTGTGAGTTCTTCCAAACCCCACTGAAGTAGAGCTAAATAGATATCGTCAGGTCCTGGCGATTTAAATGAAGATAAGCTGGTTCTCATCTACAATGTGTTTGGCAATTTGCCAATCATAGACACATGGGTTGTATTCTTCCTTTGCCCAGTCAGCCAGGTCTGCGATGACCGAGTCAGAGAAGTGTGTTGACAGCAGAAGTGTAATGCGATCTTCGTTTGTATGCTATCCTTTTTGATTAGCGCACCAATGCTTCGATGTGGATCTGGTCTTACGATTTTTTGTATTCTCTGAGGTGAGATTTGTAATCTTTGCTGCCTTCTTTGAGAATTGTTGTTCTTGCCTTATTAAAGAATTTCCTAGCTATCGTGATCCAACACCAACACCTACATGTGGTAGTCGTCTGATCATGTTTGACCAGCCTCAGGGGACAGGATTTCTTATTAACATTGTTTATTGTACTTTGGATAGTGTTTGAGTACTTCTATAAAGCATTGTTATTGTTTGGTGTTTCGACCTCTATCTCTCAGCCCTTTTGCTGCGGAAAGCGCGCTTGTGCGGCTTGTTGATGTTTGACCAAATGCGGAGAGCGCTCTTGTGCGGCCTGTGCACCTATTCAAACAATAGCATTTTGTAAAATCCGCAGTTCAAATAAGCGTACAAAATTGGGTCCGCACATTGTTAGATATATGATATATGCTGTGCTAACTTCGTTTAACGGGTCAGTGTTGCTATCAGTTTCTAGATGGCGTCGCAGTCCAGATGCCTTACTAAATTAAAAATAAACAGTCTATTATCTGCATTTATCGATGCATGTTGTGTATTTTGGTTGGATAATTATTAAGATGGCAGCTTTAAGTGAAGCTGGACCTTCTAATGTAAAAAGACGGAAAATTATACAAGTACGAAACTAAAAAAAATTATCTGCAGAAGAAATGAAGGAGTTTGTATACGATTCAGATAAAGAAGGTTTGCCAAATGAAAATACTGACGACGATTGTAAGTTGCAAAAACATTAATTGTTATATGCTTTAATTTAAATGGTATTGTTGTATTTTATATGTAATTGAAGATGAACTCTGAGGGTAACGATTCTCAAAATGAAGATGAAGAGTTACAGGATGTGGATGGAAATGGTATTACTAATAATGCAGTTTTGATTGAAGCGGTGGTACCAGAACTGAAGTGGAAAGAAACAATTGACAACATGACAAAAATTCCATTTATAAAAAAGAATGAATTGCTGGTTGGGACACCAGGCGACGATCCCTATGATTGGTTTAAAATGCTAGTTGACGAATTTTTGGAATTGATAGTGAGAGAAACAAATCAATATGCTGTGGAAGTTCTGTCTACGAGCAGTGGAATAGGAAAGTCGAGAATATCGGAATGGAAGGATATCACGGTAAGGGAATTAGGTACTTTTTTGGGACTAACACTACATACTTGTACAATAAAACTAAATAATATTCAGGACTACTGGAAAACACACCGGTTATTTTCGACATGATTTGGAAAATATATAAGTAGGGATCGATACTTACTTATTTTGAGATTTTAATGAAAATATAGACATGCAACAACAGGGAGGTAGGGATCGACTGTACAAAGTGAGGCCAGTGTTGGATTATTTCACTCAAAAAATGAGAGATATATACTACCCAGGTCAGAACTTAGCATTAGATGAATCGATGGTGCTATGGAAGGGTAGACTTGTTTTTAAACAGTACCTCCCGAAAAAGCGCCACAAGTATGGAATCTAAATTTGCATGTTGACCGAGTCGGATGGTACGGTTTTAGATATGGTAATTTATACTGGTGCAAAGAATATCCTTGGGCGTAAAGATCATACTCAAAAAGTAGTCCTTCAACTGATGCGCAATTACTTGCATTCCGGACACTCACTTTATATGGATAATTTTTACAACTCTTTTGATCTTGCTAAGTCTTTGATTAGCCAAGAAAATTTTTGTACCGGTACACTGAGAAAAGATAAAAAGGGTTCCCCAGAAGATATCATAAAAGCAAATTTAAAAAAAGGTCAAACGAAAGCCAAATATTTAGATTATGTAATGATTGGAAAATGGTACGATAAAAGAGATGTTACTTACATATCGACGGAATTTAAAAATGAGATGGAACTAATCAAAAATAAAAGACCAACTTATGGCTTATTATCCAGCGAAGCGGAAAACACTACGCTGGTATAAAAAAATAGGTATTCATTTGATTCAGTTATTACTAATAAACGCTCATATTCTTTTTAACAAATTTTCTGGAAAGAAAATTACCCTTCAGAAGTTTAGACTGGCAGTCTTGCAAACACTATTACCAGAAGTAGCAACCCCATTACAAAACCATATACCAAATGTAGAACATATGCCTTCAAAAATTGATATCACTAAAAAAACGGGCAAAACTTTGAGAAAGAAATGTCGAATTTGTACCATAAAAACGTGCGAGCAGATACTATTTATCATTGTGTAGCGTGCAGAAACAAACCAAGACTTTGTTTAGGAGTATGCTTCCAAGAATATCATAGGACATAATATTTTTCCCTTGTGAATTCCTTTATGAGATTTAGATATGTAATTTTTTTTAGTTTGTTAAATAAAATTTAAGTTAAAAAAGGATTATTTTTATTTCACTGATGTAGGCGCACATGTGCGCTCTCCGCATATTTCTATACTTTCATTAAAATATGCGGAGGCCGCACATGCGCATCTTCCAAAAATCACTAATAAAGTCGCAAATACCATTGAAGATGGATTTAAATAAATACATTGCCCATACACTGTGTCCCAGTTTGGTGCTGCATGTATTACTATCTCGGTTATTACAAGAGCTACAAAATCGGTTAAATGGGCAATGTTTCTCCAGATTCAATTACTATTTCAGAACTGCTGTTACATTTTGTCAGTTATTTTTGGTTTTTAAATAAATCACAAAAAACCAAAATGGTGGGTTTTTTGACAGTCCTTCGTATCTCGATTATTTGAGAACATACAGTATTTTAATCTAGATATTCTATGGGCACTTTTTTAAGGTCTTTACAATAAAAAATAAAACAAAATAATTTCTCCTTCTGTTTTCAAAATATTGACTATAACTTTGTTTTTTCTTAAGGACGCCGTATTGGATTTTTATTGAATTAAATAGAATTGTTAATTCCCTTTTCAAAAATGTATCATAACATGGTACTTTCTTTCAAATGAATGCTGAAATAGACAAATCTAAAAATTTCCTAATTAATTTTGCTACTCTTGGTCTAGTAGGCGAGCCAAAAATATGATAACTCTCAAATTATAGTTGGTTTAACAAAAGATTTTATTCGTTCATTTTCAATTCGTTGTTTTTTTTGTTAAATTTATTTTCCGTTACGTTTTTATTATTTTCAAATATGGCTATACGAATGAAGAAAAATTAGACATGTTAGAAACTTACTTTGTAGCCCACAGAAACTACAGGGGCTACGGAAATTTATGAAAATAAATTTCCTGAATGGCATCAACCAAACGCAAGACATTTTAGAGATATGGCATTAAATTTGCTAAATTATGGAATTTTGAAAAACCCAGAAATCCTAAATATGCTATTGAAAATGAGGAGAGAATTGATGCTGTACTACAATACACTAATAATGATAATCCCACAGCATCGATTAGAAAAATTATTAATGAAATGGATATCCCTAAGTCATCCGCTCATCGAATACTGGACGTTAATAAATATCATCCATACAAACTTAGGATTGTACAAGGTTTATCGGCAAATGATTTTCCCCGAAGATTAAGATTTTGTGAATGGTACATTCAACATATACGAGAAAATGCCAATTTTTCCATGGACATATTATGGACTGACGAAACTCGATTTAATAATTGCGGAGTTTTCAACAGGCATAATTCCCATCACTGGGCTATAGAAAACCCAAAACTCACCTCACAAACAATATTCTAAACAAAATTCGGATTTAATATTTGGTGCGGCATAATAGGCAAGTATAAAATGAGATTTACGTTTAAATATGAAATTATTGAAATTCTTACTTTTAGAAAATCAATTAATTGGACCAATAATTTTTAATTTCAATTTAAATGCAGCACGATATCTTCAGCTCTTACAAGATCAAATAATGTCCGCTCTGAGAGCATCTGTGGGGAACTTGGATCAAATTTGATGTATGCACGATGGTTGTCTAGCTTATAATGCCGCCGTCGTAAAGAATTATTTAGAAAAAAACTTCCCCAATAGATTAAATGCGAATAATGGCGACATTTTGTGGCCTGCTAGATCCCCTGTTATAAATCCCCTTGACTTATTCTTATGGGAAAACGAAACTTACTCATTTGAAGCTCCCGAAAATATTGCAGTTTTCGAAGAAAGAGTCCGAAACGCTATGGGTGCAGTGAATAGAAACACATTATTAAGGTTAATAAACTCTCTGCAAAATCGTTGTCAAATGTGTTGTAATCAAAATGGTGGCCACATAGAACAATTTCTTTAAATTAGGCAGTTTATATCTGAAGCTTGTATTGTAAATTGCCCCACAAGTAATCGCAAAATCCTTGTTTTTATATGATCTTTATAAAGTTCAAATTAAACCGACCATAATTTGACAGTTCTAAAACATTGTTGACTAGCCCACTAGACCAAATTGAGTAGAGCAGCAAAATTATTTAGGAAATTTTCAGATTTTTTTATTTCAGCATTCAATTGAAATAAAATACCATGTTGTGATACATATTTGAAAAGGGAATTAACAATTCTATTTAGTGCAATAACAATCCAATATGGCGTCCATAAGAAAAAACAAAGTCATAGTCAATATCTCGAAAACGAAAGGAGAAATTCTTTTGTTTTATTTTTTATTGTAAAGACATTAAAAAAGTGCCCATAGAATGTCTAGATTAAAATACCGTAAGTTCTCAAATAATCGAGATACGGACGACTGTCAAAAATCCACCATTTTGGTTTTTCGCGATTTATTCAAAAACCAAAAATAACTGACAAAATGAAATAGCAGTTTTGAAATGTTATTAGAATTTTGAGAAACATTGCCCATTTAACCGATTTTGTAGCTCTTATAATAATCGAGATAGCAATGCATGCAGCACCAATTTGGGACATAGTGTATACAATTTAATTTTTAGAATAAAAAATAGTGCCGCATTTGCTGAAAGTCCTCGGAAATTTTCAGCAGCGAAAGGGTTAGAGCCTGTTGGAGAAGGGAAGGCCTAGGTTGTCCTATCAATCTTCCTAGCATTTCGAGATAGCTTGGAGGTCGGCAACCTCAAGTTTATTTTGAATTGTAACTACCGGTGGTCTGATATCGAAATGTTATCAGACACTTACCAGTTTAGAATTGTTGTGGATAATAATTAATAATATTTATTCAACCAATTAAATTAAAAAACATTTTAAGATACAATGTGTTATTGAATAAAGGTACTCGATAAGTGGTTACCCACTTGTTTCAAGAAAAAAATAAAATAAAACAGAGTTTACAATTATATATAGCTATGTTATTCTAACTACTAAAAAATATAATAGTTATTGCTCGATTAAAGAAAAAAACTAGTATTTATGTAATCTTTTCTTCATTTAGTAGTAATAGTTATGAAGATTTTATTGAATCTCTTAATTTAGTGGCTGACACTACAATTCCAAACTTCAAAGGCATTAGTATTAACAAATACCAGATACCATGTTTAAATAACTCATGTGATGACATAATTATAAAAACAGTAATGGCCTCTGAAAATTTTAATGACGTCCCAACTATAGGAAACTATATAACCGTCAAAAAACTTGTTGTAAGGTCTAGAAAACTTTTAAAAACAAAAAGAAAAAATAGCTTCAGGGAGCTTTGTGGAAAACTAAATCGCAATTTATCTAGTTGCAAGTTTGAAAACTAATACTCCAAACAATCTTTGATCTTGCCATTTGTAAAACCTGGAAAAGGTAAAATAGAGTAGAATGGTATTTGGAAAACAAGA